TTTGTTTTTAAAAAATATTTTCAATTTCAACAATTATTTTCTACTCTAGTAAAAATAAAAGAATTTTTTCAAAAATATTTTTCATTCATAAATCAAACACTAAAAATCTTTTTCGGAAAATATTTTCTACTCACCAACCAAACATGAGAAAATAAGTCAAAAATCAACTTGTTTTCCAAGAAAACATTTTCTAGGAAAACATTTTCCTTCATACCAAACACACCCTGTGTTTTAACTTGTCATTGCAGGCTCTATAGAAACATCAAACATAGGTATTAGCGGCATACAACTTCCACAAAAACTTGTCGATGATCCTATTTAAGGACAGATTAGCAACCATTACCAAAAAATATGTTAGCTAGGGACCATTTAGCAACAGATTAGTGATGAACTATGGAAAAAGGGCGTTGTGTTACCTCCATCCCGGAATATATAAGGTGCGAGAAACTTCAATGACATGCTCAGCTTGTTCTTTTTGAAGCTCAAATATCTTTCGACCTTCTTCATAGTTGCTCCCAAAGGCTGTGCGAGAAATTACATCACTAGTCAATCTTTGAAGATAAGGCCATATATCGAGTTCGGTGGACGATTCTTTCATTGAGACAGCCTCCTCCCATTGGTTCACCATTTCACTGCAGCTCAAAAGAACTGCTTGAAGCATATCCTACACATTTGTAAACCACTGAATAATACAAATTAAACCAACTGCATCTTGTAGAAATATTATCTCCTCAAAAAACTTAGGCCATATTTGCGAGTTTAAATTGTTAATACTTATATCATATCTTCAAAATGTTGCGTATGTAAAAGTGAGTTTTTTCTCAAAGGCCAACCACATGGACCTTGGTGGATTGCAGCCAGCATTTTCACTAAGAAAATTCAAAATCTAAAAAATTTAAACACTCCAAGAATCCAAGGGGATTCAGCATCTACTATACATACATAAAAAAATAATTAACCTTATATATAGTGAGTGATATTTCAACAAAAGGGGATTCAAATGAACCCTTTCTGCCCCCTAGCTTCGCGCCTTCGCCCCTATGTGAAAATATATTATGCTTTTGGGAGAGAGAGGAATGAAAAAAATACCTTTATCTTCTCCATATGAAAAGCAGGATTGAGAATTTTCCTGTGCTTTGCCCATTTATCCTCTTCATAGCTTACAATTCCTTGTGCCAGCAACTTGGTCAGGGGAGTTGATTTTGGCTTTTGATAGAGAGCATGTTTGTTAAACACATCCCTTATTACCTCAGGGTCCCCTACAATTACCAAAGGCTTTGGCCCAATCCATATGAAGCAGTTTTTACCTGTAAAATATTGCGAGTCCAAAATTCTTAGCTCAACTTTTCTTACTTTCCATAAGTACTACAGAAAGAGGTGGAGTTAAAATTTGAAATTTAATTTATAGCTAGATTCTCGTTAGACTTGTTGGATTTGAACCTAAATATATGTGCATATTTAATAAATTTCTTATTATAAATATATAGTCCAAGCAAAAGTAACTAGTTTATCTGAACTCGTACTTAGCTTGATACTATAGCTGAGCCATTGGATCATGTTGTTGTGGGCGGGTAAGCACCCCTCTATCCTTACCTAGCGTTTGGTCATAGATTTTGGATCAAAACTTTTGAAAAATTATCTACAAATATCTGTTTGATCATAGATTTGAATCAAACTTTGAAAATCTATCTCCAAGTTCCAAAAACTCGGTGGAAAAATTTCACTTTTACTCACATAACTTCAAAAATTCCCAAGTAAAACAACTTTAAGTTCAAAAAGTAATAACTTCAAAAACTCTATTCTCAAGCTTCAACTTCAAAATCTATAGTCAAACGAGAGCTTAACCAAAGATTTCGAATTCGAGCTCTGAAATGAAGTCTTCATTGATAGCTTTACTCCATATGTGACTTTGCAGCGTGAATTCAAATCCCAAAAAAGATACATGAGAGAACCATAAAGCGTACCGTATTTTTT